GATTATTCCGATTCCGATATTTCCGAATATGCTAAAAATTCTGAATTTGAAAATTGTGATATGATCCAATCCCAAAATTTTGGACGGAAATTGGAATGTTTCTGATCTGATCCTTCCGAAAAAACACCCCTACATCAGAAGTTCAGATAAATAGCACAGACACCCCTGCAAAAGAATAAAAATAGCAGGGGCAGTGTTCAACTACCTTGGACTCCCCTAGGAATGAATTGGGTGAAGCATAAGGGGCAAAACCTCAATCCTAACCCTATTTGACCTTAATTCAACTCCCCTAACAATTAAAATTATTTTCCCTTACGATGTTGCTCACTAAAAGCGAACTTAAAAAATGTCATCCTGCACTTCTTTTTTAGTCAATTTGTCCCCTGCGCCTAATTTCATTAGCCAGAGTGGATGAAAGAAACACTCACCGTATATAAATTTTTCACATAACAAGTTAATAACAACCCATATATTCTTTAAAGGGTGTAAAGCTTCCAATAAAATAATAATAATGGGCAATAATACATATAGAATGTAGCTATTTAGTCCTGAAATATTTAACTGCAAAATAAATCCTGAAGTACTTATCAAGATGACCATATTTTTCCAACGTGTAAGAGCTTTTGTGGAAGCAGCATAAAGAGAAGGTCAGATTGGATTGTGTGATTTGGACGAAAAGCCAGTATCATGCTTAAGACTTAAGAGTTAAGACATGTTGTCCAGCAATCCTAACGGAATTCGATGAAGGGACCAAGTTGACATAAATTGGAAAATACAAGTTAACATGGTTTAATTAAGACTAGAAAGACCGTAGTAGCACAAACTGGAAACAACATGGTTAACATGATTAAAACTGAATCTAGAGCCAGGGTGAAATTTTCAGTCAACTGGGACCTTGGCATTTGTATACTGTTAAGAATGAGCATGTTATACGATGAAAATTTAATCCACACAATCAAACATAAGGCTAGATCAAGGATTGCAACATTAACATTATCGAAGGGAAATAAGGTAGTAAATTCTGGTTTGGGGCATTACCAGGATGATCATTAAATTTATTTCAATACAAAGGGTTGCCAAAATATATAAACATTCATTATTGGAGATGGAACGGAAGAGAACAAAAGATACTAATCAGCATATTGTCGACATAGGGATTTTCCAATGCTTTATAGCATATAGGACATTTTCTGGGCTCTTTTATCAAAACCCCACCACCCAAGATAAACACCTTATCTGATAAAGACCATAGCCAAAACATCCAAGACTCACCTACCACCTATCTAGCTAGCAAAAAACACGCCTAAAGGCTAAAAAGAATACGATCTTCATCAAATCAGATGTTAGGTGAGTCTTGTATGTTTTAGCTATGGTCTTCCTTTTTTTTTGACATCTCATCGTTTTATCAGCATTTCTATTGTTGAATATACCTCTGTTGAATTTTCTATTGAGATCAACATTATAAAGGTTTCCAACTGAACCATCTAAATTGGAATGAGAGGTTTCCAGGGTGATCACTCTCTGGTCGGAAGCTTTATCAACCAAGTAATTGTTGGTAATACATATTCAAACACAAAGTTATGAGTGAAGGACCATACCAATTTTTCTGCCGTCCCCGGAGCACTCCATGCCACTGGATGGTCAGAGTGTTCAGCAAATCTTGACAACTGTGAACTACCAGGTCTTGTGTCTGCACTGTGAGGACGCAATGAGGTCGGTGTTGTCTGATTTGATGTCAAGGCCCCAGAAGCCGATGATGGCCTAGAGTTTGAACCCCATGCATTAGAAGAAGGTTCATGCCCTTTGTCGCTACCAGCAGTTGATGGTCGAGTACCACTTCCAGATGAAAGGTGGCCACTGAGATAGCTTGGTGAAGTGCCACCGTCAGCTTTTGGGGACAATGATGATGAACCCCATGCATTGGATGCAGAAGATGATCTACTGCCCCAACCAGGGGTACCCCTACAATAGTTCAAATCAAGAAACACCTAGGTGATGAACTAGTACTAGTAGCAATGAAATATTATACACTGACTCCAACAGAAATTGAACTGGAAAGAGAGAGAGAGAGAGAGAGAGAGAACTCACTTGGGAACGATTTCCACACTTGCGTCCACACCATGATTTTCTAACCTTGAACAGCCAACATAGGTAAAGAATTTTAGCCAAAAGAAAATGGAGCACAATAAACTGACTTAAGGACAGTTTAGCAGGAAGAATATACCTCTGACTAGGTAAGTTTATAGGTTTTGGAACTTTCCCTAAAACAGTCATTCCACTTCTTCTGGAGGAAGCCATCCTGCAACAGTAATGACAGAATTAAAAAACCACTTAAGGATAAGGATGTTGATATCTATGTGCTTGTCTGTCTCCGCATGTAAATCAGTTTTTCCTCAAAAGTCCCAATGGTTTTTCTTTAAATCAACCAATATCAGACAATTCACAAAAATTAAACCAACAATTTCCAATTGCTGAAACATTGTGAATGTTGCCAGATTTTCATACCTCCGGTCCCCAAACAACATACTCGATGTCATGTTTCAATCGTTGCCACAAGATCATTCGAGCCAAATTTTCAAAGCCTGGAAAAATAGGAGACAATTGCAGATTCCATCAGCATGACATTGTAGTCATTGAAACAGGTAAACAAATAAAGCATAGTTTTAGTAGGGTTAGCAAATGGCATAATACGCCACAAAGAACCCAATTTACATATCTTCTATGAATGTTTTATAGTTCATGTTACATGCTTACTGGAAACATTTTTTTATTTGCAGAACGAGACTCCTGATTCAGCATTACAACCAAAAAGTACAACATGGCTACTTCAGGTGCATGTGTTTGCTCCAACAAAGCAAAAAAGACGCAAACTTCATCATTCTTAAGTAAAGCTCAGCGGTACGATCAATGCTAGGTCACAAAATTTGTTACTCTCTTACGACTGGAGTTTGAGCATTTTATATAGCTTCAACCGCTACACTAAACCTATCAAGTTCTCCATTCCAAAAGACGTACTGCACTATTAAAGTGAGACCAAGTTTTCGGCAACAACAAAAAATCCCCAATTTCGAAAACCTTTGTAGTAAACAATGGGACAATACTATAATAAGAATCTATACAACCATGATAATATCCAAAAAATCCTTCAATACCCAATGAAACAAATGATAAGCATATACCTGAAAAGACTGTATAACAAATAACTATATACAAACATATATATACACATACAACAACAAAGCACTGAATCCCACCAGACAAATGCAATCGCTGAGTTGGGCAATAAAGCATGTAAAACAATAAGAACATTCCAGAACAGATTTAGCGTGCAAATTACAGTTTTCAACAGCAAATTCTAATTTATTTCATCCTCGTTCACTCTTTTTACATAAATTCTATTCCTTTTATTTTCTCGGGAAACAAACACGCTAAATCAGCATAAAATTGTCGGGAAAATTAAAAAATAATGACTTGCCTGGTAAAAGAATAGGTTTTAGGGGGTTCCTGGAAACCCTAGCAAAGTTGATGTGGGTTTTGGGAGATTAACGATCAAAACGCAGCGTATAAGGGTTTGGGAGATCGCGACTCGCGAAGAAGGTTCGGAGAAACAGAGATCTCTGGGAGTTGGAAGAGAGAATCTGAGTGTGATTGGATTCAGATCACAGGAAGGCTAAAGGGCGAAGAAGAGAGAGAGAAAAGAGGAGAGAGAAAGGGGGGAGAGAGAGGATGTACGAGTCGTAATCCGATGTAAATTTGTAAATACACAGGTCTTTCAAAATTACCGACTGGTTTAAAAATATTTTTAAAATGATCGAATTTTTAAAATCAATTTTTAATAAAATTAAACTAATTTCTTAAAAAGCATTTCTAAACGAAAACATGCAACACATACCTTGTGTTTTTTCTAAAAACATTCCAAGTGTTTTTGGAATAGAAAATAAATTTCGCCAAAAATGATTTCAATCATTTTAAAAGCAGCTTACAAACGAACTCTTAAATTCGAATTTATGATTTCTAAGAAATTTTTGGATTTGTGATTTTTTAACCTTTAATTTAAGGGAACTTTAACGAAAAGCACTTGGTACTGTTCACTTTAACGAAAAACCACATTTTTACACTAAAAAGTCAATCCTGGTACTATTCACTTTACCCTTTATTTTGTCCTTATCATTAAAACTCAAAGTTTTCAAACCCTTTTCATTAGTTTTCCTTTAATTTAATTTTTTGTTGAAAAAGGGCAAAGTTCTTGTTTTTTGTTTGAGATCATAAATGGGAGGGGTAAGAATGTCATTCTAAGTTTATGGTAGTGAGATTTAGGTATACGATCATAGGACTAATGGAGGGTTAAGAATGTCCTTATCCTAATTGCTTTCGTTTTAGGAAATTGAACGGAAGGTCAGCATCATCTTATACATAAAGCCAGCAAGCTCAATGAATGTTTTTTTGGTGTCACAAACTTCACCAAAAAATAATTGAACAGAAATACCCCTCAAACAAGAAACTTCAAAAGCAACTCAAAATAATGCATCAAATGTGGTAGGGGTATTTTCGTCATTTTAACAGTATTTTTTATAATAATTAATTTTTTTTGTACATTTTTTTTAATTAGTACCTCTCAGTAGGCTAGTAATAATGTGATTCTATCAGTTGTTCATTAAATATTATTTTCTCTATTTTCAAACACATTCAAAACATCTTGATAGGCTTGTAACGTCGGTTATAAAAAAGGTCTATAGCACGCGGATAATAATGTGATTAAATTAGTTGTCAAATGATTATTTTTATTTTTTTAACAAACGATATTATCTACACTAAGGGGTTTCTTCTAACATGATCTAAGATTATTCATTTACTTCCAATATTTGACTTTCCTTTTGTCAATTCACCCATATAAATACATTTAAAACGTGTAAATCGTGCGTAGCATACCGTAATTCAAAAAATGTCTTCACACTCGTGCATGAAGGCTAGCGGGAATAATGCTTTCACAAATAGAGTAATAAAGTTAGGTGGTTTTTTTTTCGTTTTATTTCAATATAAGCAAAGTGAGGGTGAAATCGAAATCAAAATCTTTAGTGCAAATATGTTCACAACCATTTGAGTTAACGCTCAGGTTGAGGGGACTCTTTATTTTTCTTTTTTCAATAATCGAGGCGAGACAGAGAAATCGAACTCAAAACAAATAATATCCATAGCCAAAAGCACGACGCCTTTGCTAAATACCGAAACTCAAAAGCACGACACTTCTTGTCGAGTGACATTTCTCAGTCTCTAAATTTAGCAGGCACCGTCGCTTCTGTAAAATACTCCTTTCTGACGGTCTCCACGGAGCAAAACCTCACCTTCAAAAGACAAAGACTTCAAATGAAACGAAGGTAGACAAGTAACAATATCTTGCAAGAAAATAAACACCAAAGATCTCTAGAAAGTTTACGGTAGGGAGGCTGCATTGAAGAGAAAACTTTAAGAACTCTAGTAAAAAACTTCCAACAGTCTGCTCAAGGTCACGGAGTAAGGATATTTGAGGCAAAGCATGCTTCTGGTTTGTAATGCTACATCGGTTTTTTATTTATTCTCCTTTTTCTTTTTCTCTTATGCAAATAGGTGGAGAAGTTTCTTAAAGCAAAAGCTTTAAGAACTCTGTCGTATATCCTCCTCCTCCTCCTAACAAGATATGCACATACTAAAGGTATCAAATTCGAATGTCGTTCGAGTACAGAGCACAGTATGAAATTTCCTTTTGAACAAACGTAGGGTATGTAATATTCATCTTTGATTGCAATACATACCAGCGAAGAATAAGATTTTAACAACGGTTTGGCGAGCTGCCAAATTGGCTTGAATATAAATGGAGCTTCCACGAAGAGGACTTGGCCCAATCGCTTTGGATAATAGTAGTAGAAAACATCAAACTGCAAGAGATAAGGAATCAACTTACAATGGCCATCATATAATCGTCTTGACAGTTAATATCTAACTAATCAAGAAAATATGATTAGCAGGCCAAAGAACTTCAATTATGATGTATGACAAGCAGAAGCAGCAACAAGAAAAAACGCTAATTCCCCTATGGTAATTAATCAAGGGAGCAATCAGCAGGTAGCTCGGAAAGCTTACCAAAAATGTAATGAAATCTAAATCTGCATTTTCTCTACCAAACGCTCGTAGATTGAATATTCCTAGTATTTCTTCGCTCCCTTCTGGAAGGGCACTCAATGCCTTCTCAATCAAAAACACGCAGAGCTTCTCATTCTCAGCAGGATCATGCACCTGTGGCACTTTTTGTACAGTTACCAATGTACCATACAAAACTTGATCTAAGCCAAAGGTAGCAAAAAATTGATCACAATTCGAAACGGCGTAACACTATTTTGTTGATTAAATTGGTATGTTAAACCTCAAGAATATTAAGATTATATGGTATGGAATCGGACATGGCGAAAAGAATAAAACTTACAGCAGGAAGATGCTTAGAAGCATCCACTATGAGAACTGGTCTGCCGTTAACATCAAGAAAGTCATGTACGTAAGCTTTTCCAGTTTCGGCTATACCCTTCACCGAATCTTGAGACAATTCGGACACTCTGAATTCTCGACGCCATTTCTATCACAGGATTAGGGAAATACCAAAAAAGAAACTGTAATCCTAATTACATTAACCCTTTCCGGCTTTAAAGGGGGAAAGAATCTAAAAGGAAAGAAATTTCCAATGTAAAATGTAAGTGACTAAACATGTTCAAGCAACGACTAACGCAAATTATGCAATTGATCAAGCTAGTGAAGGATACGATTGCTTTATTCAATCTTTCGACAGCATCTTCGACTGAAAACTTGCGGTCCTTGAGAAACCATAGGATCATATCTTCATCATCTCTTCCATTTTTCCCTACAGGAAGACTCTGATAATCTTTCTCAAGCTTCTCCTTCACTTCCAAAACCAGCTGCAACTTCATAAAGCACACAAGATAAGAACAACCACAAAATTTTTTATCAGCAATTCAGAATACAATGTAAGAAAAATCAAATCAACAAGACTGAGAAACATCAAAATTCAAACTTGCATATCGAAGAATCATAATTCACAACTTTTCCAGTCGCTTTCCCGCACTTTCCGAGAATCCAAACAGATTGTCGAGACCAGGGTCCAATGTAAGCAACCCAATTTGAGGAAGATTAAGAAACATAAAAAATTAAATCTTTATACTCTTCAAAATGTGAATTTAAAAACTCAAACTTCAAAATTCAAACTTGTACATCTAGGAATCATAATTCACAATTTTCCCAGTCACTTTGCACATTTTCCGAGTATCCAAACAGATTCAAAGTTAGTGTTACTGGTAGGTGTACAAAAATCCAATCTTCTCCACAAAATGTGAACTAAATATACAAACTTCAAAACTCAGCTGGCATATCTAACAACCATAGTTTACAACTTTCTCAGTCACATTCTCACATTTTCTCAGAAACCAAACAGAATCCAAGTCAGTGGGAATTGCAGGTGGACTTACCTTGTGTGATTCATTGGGGTCTAAGCGGCAGCTCCGAACTGAGAAGCTGCGAATTCGGGACGATTTAATTTGATGGGAACAATTGGAGAGCACAGGAAGATGACGCAGAGGATTACAGATACTGCGGAGCTCCATTTCTCCGATTAGTGGTCCGAAACCGCTGAATCCGATCGCGGTTTTGGTAGGAGGACGATGAGGCCGCTGTCTCAAGCAGCTCACGGTGGCGCCACGTTAGCCGTACAAAACTATTTGTCCAAGAGGACCGGTTGGTAAATATATTAAAGAGATACAGCGACCTTGGGGATAATATACGAATTGTGAGAAATGTACAATGTCGGTTCTGCCCTTCTACACAACAAATCCTACCCACTTGCTCCAATTGATATTTTCTTGAAAGATTGGAAAAAACAAGATTGAATTTTGATTTGGTGAATAAGAAGATTTATTTTACAAAGGATGTCAATTTTGGTTCAATAGTTAACAATATATTAAGGGCTCGCAGCTCGAACTGTACTGATTATTTTTTTCAGATATGATAAATGCAACTCGATAGTACTGACTAAATTAGTTGAACGTTTGGTGCAATACCAGACTAATAACCATATTATTCATACTATATCGAATATAAATTCAATGTAATTATCTAAAAACCCAAATACCTTTCAAATGCTAAACTTCAAAATAAAAAACCCCAAATTAAGCAAAATCTAATTTCAAAAAAAAAAAAAAAAATTTGCCCAGATGAAATTTTTCCTAATTTCCAAGTTCTATCATCATTCTCAACCAAGATTCCAAAATAGACCCAGATCAAATCAGAAGTAGCAAAATTATCCAATTCAAATTCAATGGGGAGAACCCAATTCAAATTCTTAGCCAAGATTCCCAAATAAACCCAGACCAGATCAGAAAAACCCAATTCGAATTCGACTGTTGTGAATTAGAATGAAACTCTCTTTGTATGGTGCTTGGCACGACGAGGAGAGCAGCGACGGGCAGATCGACGTCGGCGAGAGGAGGCGACAGGAAGAACGACGGCGGCCATAGGAGACGACAATGGCGAGAGGATGACAACGAGAAAGACGACGGCGAGAGGAGGTGTTGTGGAGAACGAAGTGTGAGAGAGGAAAGGGAATCATACTAATAATCCAATCCTTTTTGGAATGGTTTATTAAGAAGGTGTATACCTGACTAAATAAGCAAACTGATTAAATTAATCCGGCGACTATTTAATAAGTGAGGACACCAAATGACCGGTCCGTATTATTAGTCATATCTGATCCTTTATATGACCTGCCAAACGAGCCTTGAGTTTGAACCAAAAAAAAAAGTTAACAATATACTAGTGGCACCGTCATATTAAGGGTGAAGTACGGATAACTACCTAATTTAGGAATGATTTCAAATTAACCTTAATTATTTAAAATATCCTAAATAACTACCTAACGTTTTAATATTGGACATCTAGTAGGTCATGAATGTTAAAAACTAAAGCTGTTTTTTCACTAATCGTCATCTTTTGGAGCTCTAAATCACTAAATCGACTCTTATTCATCAGTTGAAACCTAAATTTGCTTAGCTAAAAGTGCTCGATTTGGGGATTCAAAGCTCCATAGATGACTTAAGTGTTAAAATTTTCTTCAATATTTGTCCACGTCATTTAACATTAGTGACCAAACATATGTCTAATTTTCAAAACGTTAAATAATATTGTAGAATGTTTTAAACAGTTGGGGCCAATTCAAGAAATAGGCTTGCTCTAGGATGCAGGCCAGCATCCTTGAGTGTGATCCCCATTTGATCAACTCCATACACTTTTCTTGGGAAGCTTGACACCAATCTGTAGTTTCCTCCTATACCAGGAACACCCAATGAATCTATGTATCTGTAAACCGCTTGCAGTTTGTCTGTGCACAAGAAGCATTGCTCTCGTCTTTCGCCATTCGGAAATCTGATCAGTATCCGGGCAGCCTGAGGATCTTGAGGATCAATGGAAGCCTCTCTAGTTTTTCCATGCTGTTTTTGGGCAGAATGGTTTTGAAGCCTCTCATGATTTGCTTTGTTTGGGGCTTCTGCTGGTTTTTGAGGTCGAACAGGTGGAGGTACATTCTTTAGTCTCTCCTTTTGCTGCAAGTAGGCAAGAGTATGAGTTACTCTCGACCTTCTAATTGGTTTTGAACTCCATTAAATTTTAAAACGTGTCAATTTTCCTTATATCGTAAAATCTATCACATTTTTCTATTAGTTTCCCCGCTTGAACGAAAGTTCAAGTCGAAAATAAAAGTAAGGCCTTAAGTTCAGGGGTGTCGCTAAAAAATTTCCTTTATTACAAAACGAAGTGTAAACAAACCTTGTCTATTTGTATAGCTGCAAGATATGCTGCATCTTGTTCTTCCCTCAGACGGCGGTCTGCTATTATTTTTTCTGCCTTCTTGGCCTTCAAACTGCGAAACGCCAGCCCTTGTTCCTCCAGCGTCCGCTGCAGAATCCCCACCAGCTCGGTTGGGGAAATTGGCCCTTCCATCTAAACATGGACAAAGAAATAACAAATAAGAAAATAAAGAAAGTTGAAGATAGTACCCTTATCGTTAGTATTGGAAGCTGAAACTGTTGTTGTTACTGAAGAGACTCACCTACGAAGGGAGGGCCCCTGTGGCGGTATCTCAAGTCAATCATGCACTATATATGATATGTTTTAACTTTATTCACATGATAGTAAGTAATTGGCTTGAAATACTGACACAATAACGTCTCAAGATAAGTTTTGTTAATACAATCATTGACGAATGAAACTTTTGGCATTCAACAATAAATTTAGAACTAATGGATGATTCATTTATGAAGTTGCTAATTAAAATCCTTCAAGTTTAGGTTTCAGTTAACCTGCTGCATCACTGCTATGTTATCACCAGCAACAGGAGCTATAACAGCACAGAATGGAAAGCAAGCCGGGCGAAGAGTTGCACTCATTTGTAGACCTTCATCTCTATCTGCAATTGCTCCCCAGGAAACAAAGTTAGCATCAAGAAACTGCACCACCGCCTCAGAAGACAGCGTCTCCCTACAGAAAGAAGGTGTGAAAGGGTGTTCCGGTGAGTGGAGATACAAGAACAAGAACTTGTGCTCATCCTCAGCAATCTTTAGGGTTTCCATAAACCGGCATGCGTAAAAGAATGGATGCATGGTGCCATACTGCTGCTCGAAGCTAGTTAGAAAAGAGACCGATACTTCTGGAAGGATTAGAGGCTCTTCTGGATAATGCATTGGAAAGTTTGATGGTAGGGTTTGAGTTCTTCTTCCTGATCCTATTCCTATAAGGTGTCTGCCGTGCCCCATTGCTCTGGAAAATCCTCCCATAAGGCTGCTCGGAAGGCTTACCATCCGGCGAACGATCCCATTGCAAGATGCCTCTGCAGCTGATCTTATGCCTTCCCTCATTGCCATCAACAATCGAAAGTTTCTTTTTGTAATAAGATCAATTGAGATATAGGGTTAATTTCTTTTACGCGAATAACAGTTAATTACAACGAGAAACCTCTAGTGAAGCCATTACGAACATGAGAGCGGAGCGAATTGAGATATATGGTTGTTCAAAGCAGTACAAACAATCAATCAGTTTCATTGTTACTTTATTAGATTAAGTTTAATTGTGGAGATAAAAAGAGAATTATGGGAGAATGTGAAGATGCTTCTTCTTTTTAGCGTCTAGAAAGATGAAAGGAGAGGATTGTGCTTTGCTTGTGAAACAATCCACCGTTGAATGAGGAAGAAATTCATGAGCATCTAGGTTGAAACCGATTGATCCATCATTTTTCGATCGATCAATAATTCATGTGCACTTTTTGCACGTATGCATATTTCCTTCCCCTTTTCATTTTTTTTTTTTTAATCTGAGAGAAGCATATTTCCTTCCTTAATACCACTTACAATGACTATACAAATTGATCAGTCTTCAGAATATGTTCTTCCATAATGTGAAATGAAGGGCCGGAATTTAGGAACAAAGATAAAAGTTGGAGTGAATAATCTTATGTGCAGCGACAAGACTTTAGATGTAGAGGTAAAAGTTCTTAATCACTTGAGATTCAAATACGCTAATGAACAAAGATAAAAGTTAAAGTGAATATTATGTGTAACAATTTGATTTTCACATATCTTCGAGCATCCGTTTTTTCTTTTAATGCAAGAGATTTTGGGGGAGGAGATTCAAACACGCGATTAGAGTGCATGAGCAAACGCTTTTAACTACTTTGAACTACAAGTCCCTTACATAACATCTTTTTTAGTTTGTCAATAAAGCACAACTGAGAAATTGTACCTATATATGACCAAGGGTATCCCTTTTCCCCGATTAGCATGATTATTATCTTCAAAATGTCAAGTTTAGCAACTGATGGTGGTTTTAGTACTTGAGTTGCTTGAGCACCTTCCCGTCTTCCAGACCACTTTTCTCTGAAGAATTCAAATTAGGTCTTTCATTTCTTTCTGGGAAAATCATGATGACAAGAAAACTTTTTGACCTCCAAACGACAAACCCACATTTTTTTCAAAATTTTAATACAATAAAAATTAAAAACCAAATAAATTCTAGCATTTTGTGGGATGGTGGCTACCCATGTGACTGTAAAAGTCCCTACATTGTATAATTCCATCCTACCTTTGAAGGTTTAAAGTGTTTTGCTTTTGAAAAAAGGCAAATAATTTCAGCTTTTTCTTTCACACACACACATATATCTATATATACATATCTAGTGTAGAATAGTAATAGCTCCTATACAAGATAAACATCACATGGTCTCCAGACTCTCCACATTGATATCATATGACCTATCACCATCTTCAACCTCCAAGATAGTACAAAGGTATATATATAATGGGACTATAGCTTACACCTGCATTATATTATGCAGGCACCACTGTTTTAAGACAAGATACTCAAGCTTGCTAAGCAGGCCTCGCATTCAGTACTCCTACCCTAGCTAGTGCTTGTACCATATGCACTATAAATGTCTCCTGAGCTAAAATGGACTATGTCTCCTGAGCTAAAATGGACTGTCTTATGATGGGTTAGGTCAAGAAATTTGGTGAATTTGGTAATGGGGTTTTTTCGGTTTGTGAAGTTTTAGTTCATATATTTCAAAAGAACAAACTTTGAACACACACCATTCAAGTTACGCTGATCAAAAAACAATATTCAAGGTACAAATTGATATGCTATCGCCCCAAATGCACGTCTAAATCTCAAATCAATATATCTTTTGCTAACATGAATGCTACGTTGGTGCATGTTAGGTGATGATTTTTCATATTTAGAAGGTTAGGAATTCCTTATGATTCATTTATCAATTGGGCATCTATTTAAACAAACAATGAACTTACCAAGTGCTATGACAACAAAATAAAAATTAACTTGACAACCAGACAGATGAAGAGGTCATGTCACATCCCAGACCGGCTCCGTTTTGGGTTTACCATTCCTTCACGGATTTGTTTCTGGATACTTAGACGAGAACTTCCCAGTGAGTCACCCATCCTAGGATTGCTCTCGTTCGCACTCGCTTAACTTCAGAGTTTCAATGGAATCCAAAGCCAGTGAGTTCCCAAAATGACTTGTGCTATAGGGAGGGGAGCATATACATATAAGACACATCACCCCATCTCCGTTGGTCAATGTGGGATGTTACAATTCACCCCCCTTAGGGGTCCGACGTCCTCGTCGGCACACTCGCACAGAGTGACCCTGATACCATTTTGTCACATCCCAAACCGGTTCCGCCAAAGCACGATATTGTCCACTTTGGGCTTACCATTTCCTCACGGATTTGTTTCTCCTAGGATTGCTCTCGTCCAATCTCGCTTAATTTCGAAGTTCCGATGGAACCCGAAGCCAGTGAGTTCCCATAAACAAATCCGTGAGGGAATGGTAAGCCCAAAGCAAACAATATTGTGCTACGGCGGAGTCCAGACTTCACATCCCAGTCTCGACTCCGTCGTAGCACGATATTCACATCCCAATCTTGACTCTGCCGTAGCACGATATTTTCCGCTTTAGGCTTACCATTCCCTCACGGTTTTGTTTTTGGGTTTCGGCACGAGAACTTCCCAATGGGTCATCCATCCTTGGAATACTCTTGCTCAAACTCACTGAACTTTGGAGTTCCGATAGAACCCGAAGCCAGTGAGTTCCCAAAAAACCTTGTGCTATAAGGAGGGGGGCATGTACATATAAACCACACCCACTCTCCGTTGGTCGATGTGGGATCTTATAGGTCAAGATATAAGAATTTGTAACTTTAGAGTTCTACATATTTGCCAATATTTAGAAAAATAGGGATACTCAAACTGAACCCAAAATGGTGCAAAGTATAAGATTCCCTTCTCTTAACCTGCATTCTTAATCATTGAATAATTATGATTATATTACATTGTTCTTTCATTCTTTAAAAACGACATGTTCACAATTCACAAGAGAATCTACTAGCTGGTGCGTGCCCTACAAACTATACAAACAGCAGATGATGAATGCAACTTTACATCATCCCAATCACACCAGGCTGGAAGATTTAGAGCAAATCCCAGCATAATCCGAGCTTAGCTAGCTCTGCCAAAAATTACATGGTGATTAATCTTTTCCTTTTGCCAGTCGGTGCTCTCTTTCATAAAGCATCGCAATGGCAGCCTTTCACTCCAAGTCAAGTGACATAGTATTATGCACCTGAAAAAAAAGTTACAGTTTTATATAATTTATGCCATGAAATGACAATAACTTTATGAATTATCAGCACAAATCACAAACCCTAAAATTATAGAATATAATCCATGCTAAGAGATCTTATAACCTTTTCGATTACTTCAAAATATTCAACCATGTAAAAATTAAAAAACTGTATTCTTTTCACACATATGTGTGTGTGTAAATATATATATATATATATATATATATCAATATTATTGTGGGTCTGGAATCTATTCTGAGAGGCCAGCTTTACAAAAGGAGGGGGGCATGGGAACAACGTAATTATAATCGAGAATGTGGAGGTGTTGCTTTTTAATGAGCGTGGCTTAGATGGACCAATATATATATTCTCAAGTCTCAACTGGTTGCTGCAGATGTTGTTGGGAGTGTGAGTGAGTGGAGGGTCATTTGTGAAAAGAAGAGAGAATTCAAAGAATAGAGTATAATTGGCAAACAGTGATAAGGAGTTGGGAGGACCATTTGAAAGTGACAAGCACCATTGCCTCCCTAGAAAGAGAACCAAAGCACCAGGGTCAAGGTCCCATAGCTTTCTGCCTCCCACAATCAGTGCCCTAAAAATTCATATCTTCATGGTTAATTTCAAAATTACTAGGTGTAGATAGGAATCTTCTAACTTTAATTATGATTGGTAATCCCACTTTAAAAGAAAGTATGGTAACGGCAATTTTTCGAAGTACCCCTAATATTGTTAGGTGAGGTTACTGAATTCACTCATGTTATAACATGTATATATTAATGTCATATTTTGAAGTATAAACTAATTTATTATTTATAGTATAATTAACGTGTAAACTAATTAATAACATTATGCAACTTTGTTACAATCAAACACAAACTTCAGAGACTTTGAGCCTAATATGATTACACATTAGACTGGTGTATACATGTGGCCCTTAAGTACTTGTATAACTCATATTATAGTGTTTAGATTAAACTAACAAGAATGGTAAGAAACAACCTTCGCACATGTGATTACATTAGCTATAGATGCATATCGTTACTATTGTACATGCAAATGGGTAGATCATTATATCACATTTCATGTGTTTCACAAACATGAATGATCAAAATAAACATAGGTCTACATCCGTAATTGATCCTAACATCTCCTTCTGAGGATTAGGGTTAATCATCAAGATTGAGGGTGCTGTTATTTAGACTATCAATTCCAACAGTAATTAATTACATGTTACCATTTGTCTCTTGGAGGCCTACGGATTTAGCAATATGACAAATTGTCGGCATAGGAGGTTTTGACATGCTTGACCTTAGGCGTCAGCTACCCATGAATCCATGATCGTGACATTCATATATGGATTGCAGGATTGGACCCATCTAATCAATATGCATCGTTTTCCTTAGTAAATATTGCAATAAATTTGATCTGTTCTGGGTGACATAAATATTGAACCGGTGATTCGTCTGGCGGATAAGATTTTTCTCTTCAATTTATTACATTTCGGATCAATTTGTTCTTACTCTTATTAGCGTAGCTTAAAGTAAATATATCGTTTGTAATAAAAAAACTGTAGCTAGTTAAAAACTTAAAACCACATCATTGGCTTTGTCCATTTTTGGATGAATTCCAAAGCATCCCTTTAAGAGCAACTCCAGCCCAACCATATAGGCCGGCCTAAAGTCCAAAAAAAGGTCGGCACCCCCCAAAAACACTCAAGCCGAGCCTAATAGGCTGGCACCTAGCCTAAGCCAGCTTCTAGGCCGGCCCAAAATTTGTTGGGGCATATGACGTCACGATGGCGTCAGCGTGATGTCACAGGCCAGTTCGGATTTTTTTTTGCGCCATGCGCAAGTGGCCGCACGTTCCCGACAAGAAAAATGGGGCGGGGCCCGCATGTGTAGGCGCAACAGAGGGGATTGATGGGATGACACATGGCTCGTTCTGGCCGTTGGATTTCCAACGACTAGTTTTCTAGACCATTGGATTTCCAACGGTAAAAAAATAAAATCAAATTCAAATCCAATGGCTAGTGAAGTGGCGCATTCTGGGA